AGGCAGGCCGAGAACCGCTGTTCTAAACAGTGACTGGACGTGCTCCGTCCGCCCATTCTTTTCCGTAGTGATCCTTGTTTTGGCAACTGTCTCCTTTTCCCCGGCTCACTTATCACTGCTTGTTCACAAAGCCTGCCTGTAGCTGCACAGGCCTGGCGCGTATACATTCGCTTCCGAAAAGGGACCGCATAGCAGCCCTCTCTTTGTAAGCGATTTAGGCCACTGAGGGTGTTTGAGGCTGCAGCCCTACAGACCTGCGCTGGTCTCTAGCTTGTTTGGCCACGAGAGGAGAACCGAGGGCGGGAGAGAAGGAGGAGGAGCCAGGCGTTTAATCCTGAAGGACTTTTAGGGACAAAAGCATTTACAGTGAGTACAGTCGGCAGATTCCCGGCTTTCCTGTTCTTTTATTTAAGAGAGAAGACCACAAGAGAAGGGAGAAAGGGTGGGCAGCTCTGATGGCTGTGTAGCTGCAGTTTCTGCCTGCTAGTTTGGTAGAGGAACATTCTCCTGATTTAAGCGTGTTGTGTTCAAATAGAATGTATTCTGCTAATGTCAGGTTTCGACTCACCACCTGCGGACTGTCAGGGAGATAGCAGAACCAGTCCTTGTTAGGAAGCAATCCATGGTATGTTTCTTCTGTTTCTATAAGATAATAGAGTGTGATTGGAAAACCTTTTCCATAGAGTAGAACAAAATAATACTCTTTAAAATCTTCACTGCTTTCAGCTTTTACACTTTAAATGTTGAATCTTCTTTGGATTTGTGGAAATGAAAAAATCTGATCTATGTTATTTTTAACAGTAGCTGGGATAAAGGTGGTATTATCTCTAATGCTGGAAAGGTGGCCACAGATAAACATTTGATGAGGGGGGCAGAGGTCACGGGTGCTGGTTGATCTGTCCTCTCACGGCTCTGGAGTCAGAGTTGTAACTGGGTGGGTACCTGTAAGCACCGAATCAGTGCTTTCATCTGCACCTTCAGGAGTTGTCTACTGACCTCTTCTTCTTTTTTAATTTCTCGGTGACTAGCAAGGAATCTTATTGCCAGATGCCTGGTAAAGGAAGAATACAAAATGTATAGCGCTTAGAAGAACACATAGACTTGTGCTGAATTTCCTGCTATTTATTTGCATTCAATTGGGAGAATTAATTTGATAGGAAAGCAAGCTTGAATAGTTGTGAAAAGGGCAGGGAAAATATACACAAAGATATTACTATAAGTCTTCAAAATGTGAAACAGTTTTCCTTTAAATTATAAACTTTACCTTTTAAATCAGATGTGACTTTGTAAAAATCAGAAATAAAGTTTGTTTACCTGAGGGTGGTCATTTAAATGTGAACTACTAGAAATAATAATTAAATGTTTATAGTAATTATTTTCCATGAAAATTGGTAGCTAATCAAATTTATGCCACTTCCCATGTTTGCTATGCTATTATGACACATATGATATTTCTTTTTCAGTGGCAAAGTTATATGTTATGGAAAGTAAATAGACAGAAGTTAAAATAAAACTTGAGTAAAGTGCTTTAGTTCTCTGGGTTAAGGAGATTTTCTTGTTTACAGTTGGATGAGTTAAATATAGAAACATCACATTCAGGTTGAAATTTTTTAATGCAGAAAAATTTTGTTTTGGCAGCTTGAATGTAAGGTTTATTTGTCATTTACTCATTTGTGATGCACACAGCTATGATTTTATTTAACATTATTTTTATTGTTATCTATATAACCACATATGTTTGTGTTGTCAGTCTTAAATTGTAAGCTCTCAGAGGGGATAATCTCCCATATTTGCTCCTCCGGAAAGAATTAGCAACACATAATGTGTAAATAATGATTTACAAAATGTGTTTGCACGGTGATAATTTCTTTCTTCCCATTAAGTAGGACAATTCTATTGGTGCTGTTTGTGTGCTTTGGTAAAATGGAAGGCCATTGCTTAGTAGCTACACAGCTCTCAGTACAGGCAGGATACTTCTAGTAGTTTTGTTATTTCTGAATAAATAGGTAATCACAGATTTTTAGTGACAGATGGGATCTTACAGATCATGGAGGCCAAGTTTGTCATTTTACAAACAAGGAAACGGGGACCCAGAAATGTGGAGCATCTTACCCTAAATCGCACAAACTGCACTGTGCTTGCTTGGTGCACAGCCTGATGGTATTTATAGAAATGTATGTTGGGACATAAATTGCACTGAGCCAAATCTTTGGCATGTTCTTTAGTTTACAGTATGATGTATATTCCAGAGAAGGCACAGCCTTGATTTAGGGGTTTCAGAGAAAACACCGTGACCAGGCATCCTTTATCAGCTGTGCAGGGCTCTTGGGCAGGCATCTAGGGGCGAGTGGGTGTGGGTGTAACTTAGAGAGTTCATTGTACACTGCCCTGCCATTTAGTTTTCTTGTTTGGATGAGTCTGGTTTCTTAGAAAAGGGAACCACTGTGACACCAGTGTCCCCGCTACTTACCCCCAGTTCTGTGACCTTGCACTGGAAACCTTTATTAACCTTTGTGTATCAGGTTCCTTCTCTGGGATTGTGATTCTAAGCAGATCCCCCAGAGGGCAGGAATTGATTAAAAATTAAAAATTGCTTTTGGGAATTAGAATCTGTCTTAGGCTAGGGTATAGATTTTTAAGAAGTAGTGTGGTAGCTTATTCTTCCTGAAGTTTTATCCCTCCCAGTGAAATTTTGATATCTTCTAATTAAAAATAGTCAGGTATGATAGTATTGTTATTTTAGAAAGGCATTTAAAAATGTAGGGTGTAGGTTCTTCCTCTTATACTCAGGCAGAGGAAACTGTTGAATTGAAGCCTAAAAGGCAGGTACCATTCTCAAAGGCAGGTACCAAAGCGATAAACCTATTTTATGACATAATATTTTACTTTTAGCAAATAACGTTGCTTTCAGAAATTTATCTGTAAACCCCCTTATTATTTAACTTAAAAATGTGATGCTCAATAAGTTGAGTAGGGCAGCATGGTGTAGCATTGGAATGTTTCGGAAACATGTCATAGGAATAACTTATTTTTTATTTTATTTATTTTAAAAATATTTTTTTATTGATTTTAGAGAGAGAAACATCAATGTGAGAGAGAAACATCAATTGGATGCCTCCTGCATACCCCAGTGATCAAACCTGCAACCCAGGCCTGTGCCCTGACTGGGAATCGAACCAGCATCCTTCTGGTGCACAGGACGATGATCAACCAACTCAGCCACACTGGCCAGGGCAGGAGTAACTTATTTTTAAGACTTTTGTTAATTCAACAAGTCTTTTAATTACCTGTGCTCATTCCTGTATGGAAAGTTACATGTTCCTAGTCAAATTGGGATCTTTCTTTACCTCCTTCCCCCATTTTTGTAGGTAAAATATTTTATAAAGAATGTTTATTGATTTTTAAATAGAGAGGAAGGGAGAGTGGGGAGAGAGTAAAAGTGAGAGAGAGAGAGAGAGAGAGAGAGAGAGAGAGAGAGAGAGAGAAACATCGATGTGAGAAGAACATTTATCCGCTTACCCAGGAACGAGTCTGCAACCTGGGCATGTGCCCTCACCCAGAATTGAACTGGCAACCCCTTCATGCCCAGGACAATGCCCAACCAACTGAGCCACACCAGCCAGAGCTGTTAAAGAATTTTTTGTTGATACTAAGTGACTATTCAGAATCTAAAGACATATGGGCTACTTTCTGATAATCACATTTAATTTTATATTTCATCTTTAGATGAAAGGAGCTATAAAGTGACTTGAATGTGTAGAACAAGAAAAAGTCTTTTAAAAGGATATGAAACCCATTGCCTTGGGTAAAAGAAGCTCCTAAAATTAAAAATAATGTCTATTTAAAATGTTTAGTGTACAAAGCCAAAAAGTTATTTTATAATACACTGGTAATTTATCTTTTACATAGCTAGATAATTTATCTTATCAACTTTATATTAAAAAGTAACCTTACCTTATTATGACCTACACTTATATCATTTTTCATGTATTTGATTAACATTTTAATGTTATGTGTTTAAGAGCAACTTATTACTCTTGAAATTCCAGAGCCTCAAAATTTCAGCATGACCAAATACCAATTTCGTTTAGGTTGAGAGTTAATTAATTCTAGATATATTCTATATAGGCCATGATTTATACTTTTCAGGAAAGTAAAGGTTTGGAATTACTACATGATATCTATTTATCTAACAAATCATAGAAAGAAGCAGCGTTCCCTGAATTCAGCACACTGTTTTCACCAGCTCAAGCATGTTCCCTCTCTTGTTTCCCATGTACTGAATATATTGGTTTCAGTAATCAAAATGATGCTTGGGTGCTTGTAGAAAAGCCCCAAACACGTGTGTGGCTTAAACAAGACAGAAGTTTGTCTTCCTCACAGTAAAAAAAGTCCAGGGCAGCAGTCCAGTAGTTGCTCGTTATCGTGTGGGATCCATGTTCCTACCACTTCGCTCTACCATCCTCTGTCTGACATACTCAGGGGCATCTTCTGGTCTGAGACGGCAACTGGAAGTCCACGTTACAGGCTAGGAGAAGGGGGAAAGCAGAAGGGCAAAAAGGGGGCCCCTCATAATTGAGTCAACTCTCTTTAAGCAGCTTTCCCAGACTTTCTACACAGGAGTAGTACTTGCATCTCATTGGTCAGAACTTAGCCACTTGGCCACACCTAGCTATGATGGAGATAGGGAATGCACTTTTAAATTCTTGGCAGGAATAGGCACAGCTGAAAATCAGGATGTTGTTACTAAGGAATGAGGAGAGAATCGATGTTGGGGTAGGCAATACCACATGGTTTTGTGTTCCTATTACATGCTGGGTCTTGGGGCTATGATGTAGAAACTTAAAACACCTCTTTCTGTTTTTGCTACGAGCTATGGTTTCTTAATTTAGAAATCTGGCTTAATTTAGAAATCCTGTTTCTTCTGTGAAGTATCATTTCTTTATTTGGCAATCTTGTCTGACTCTTGCTTTCTTCTTTCCTCTTGCCTTTCAGCTGTTTTGGAAAGAAGTAAGGCTTAGACTTCTCCATGTTAACCATGAGTGTGACACTTTCCCCCCTGAGGTCACAGGACCTGGATCCCATGGCTACTGACGCTTCACCCATGGCCATCAACTTGACACCCACCGTGGAGCAGGGTGAGGGAGAAGAGGCGGTGAAGGATATGGATTCTGACCAGCAGTATGAAAAGCCACCCCCTTTGCATACAGGGGCCGACTGGAAGATTGTCCTTCACTTACCTGAAATTGAGACCTGGCTCCGGATGACCTCTGAGAGAGTCCGGGACCTAACCCACTCAGTCCAGCAGGATTCAGACAGCAAGCATGTGGATGTGCATCTGGTTCAACTAAAGGTAAGGAAGGCTTCTGGGCTCAGGTCCATTCCAGACGGAAGACTGAAAAGGCTGTGGCACGTAGAGCCCGAGTTCTGTCATTCTCAGTGAGAAAAGTCTCAGAAAGAAACTAGAATAACCGGTGTGGGAACATTATCTTTGTAGATGAACATGGACAGAATTCTCTCCTGATTTTACTTCATGGGCTGAGTGTCTAGAATAAAACTGACCTTAGGGGATAATGCAGAAAAGTGGGGAGAATAAAATATTACAAAAGTTTTAGTAAATAGACTCTCATAGGTAAAACCTCAAACTGAGCTGTGGCTGTGTGTATGTATGTGTCTGTGATTATCTCCTGTTGGATGGATGCTACCGCTATGGTACACAGTGGGTCCTGGCGCAATAGGGAAGGGCATTGCTCTCTTTTTGGAATGAGTCATTTCATCCAGGCACAGTTCATCGTGTAGGGCAAGAGTTCCTTTTTAACAACTAATCTAAAGTTCAGACATTGAAAAATGTCTGGGGTGTTTAGAGGCCTTAACAAGCCTGACTGTTGATAATAATGAAATGAAGGTGCTAGTAAAGAGTGCTATAATAGAGATTTTGACCTAGGGACCCCAAAATACAGTGACTCTTGCCCTGCCATAGCCATTCCTCTATTCCAGGTTCCTGAGAAAAATGCATGTTCAGGTCAATGACTAGCAAAGCAAGGCAGGTTTATAACTAATCGGGGCAATGGACCCAAACCCCAGTGTACATTTCTAGTCAGTTGCATGAGATCTTAGGGAGAATTCTTTTACCTAAGACAGTTCATCCTAAATAATTTTGAAATCAAAGACCAGCTGGCCAGCATGGCTCAGTGGTTGAGCCTTGACCTATGAACGAGGGGGCCACAGTTCAGTTCCCAGTCAGGGCACATGCCTGGGTTGTGGGCTCGATCCCCAGTGTGGGGCATGCAGGAGGCAGCGGATCAGAGATTATCTCTCATCATTGATGCTTCTATCTCTCTTTCCCTCTCCTTTCCTCTCTGAAATCAATAAAAATATATTTAAAAGAGAAAACCAAAGACCAAACAGATTCTTGACTCTTAACACTCAAATGTCTTATGCAGCCATCAGGGTGAGAGGAAAGATGCGCAGGTGAGAGAACAGCAAGCAGAGCTGGCTCCGCTTTCTCGGCTGGTTCAGGGGATTCGGGACCCCGCTGCCACAGGAAGGAGTGTCCAAGAGGGGAAAGGAGGGGCTGAGGAGAAAGAGAAAACAAACAAGCCCGAATGCCAAGCTGACTGGGCTCTCACCGGTTCTTGAAAAAGAGACAGCACTAAAGGGTAACAGAAATGGCTAGGAACCAGCTTCAATGGAATGCAGGCCTGGCTGGTTTCCCGCTCTGGCAGCAGGGAAGAATGTGTCTCAGCCCCGAACACAGCTCCTTTAGTTAAAGGGGCAGCTCTGCGGCAACGTGGGGTGGGGTGAAATGGAGGCATGTAGCTCCCATAAGTAAATACAGGGTTGGGTTTTTAAGAAAAGTTGACTGTTGCTCTCCAAAGTCTTTCAGATTTACACAGAAAAAATGGTAAATGATAAAGGAGAATGGGGAGAAAATGGAAATCTCTTTAAAAGACTCCACTAAAAATGCTGTTTAGGGCTCCTAGAAACATTAATGTGTCGATTTACTTCATTTAATTACTTCAATAACACTGAAGTGAAGATGAAAACTTTTATTCCAAGTAGGAATGTAAAGTCTTTGTAAAATCAACCAAGGTTATGTTCAGTGTTTGAGAAATCACCTCTAAGGTGATTTGCTTATCTTTTCACATTGGAATTACCTATCATCTTCCTGCCTCCGTAGAAAGCATCTTACACCTGCCTCTATCCAGCTCTGTCGCACAGCATATCTGTCTCCTCTGCTGAGAAAAAAGCCCTAGCAATGTAGGAGGTCAAGACAACAATCGCATAGTGGTAGTTAATCAATGACTGAAAGGGATGAATTGAAATCATTTAATGTTAATTTAATTCTAGAGTTTCTATTAATACTTTTTTATGTTTATTTCATCAAGTGATTTTTACAACCATCATTCTCTTATAATGTTCTCAAATATTCTGTAATGATAGAGTACAAAGTCATCAACTCTGGTCACTGAGTTGTGGCCACCTCTAAGCTAGGGTTTAGTTTTGGACTCCTAATCTGCTTAACATTTCCCCTTTATTTGTGTGATATTTCCTTATTCAACCAAATAAGCATTGCGATGCATTTTTTAAAAAACGTATTTTTATTGATCTCAGAGAGGAAGGGAGACGGAGAGACAGAGAGAAACATGGATGAGAAAGAAAAATGATTGATCAGCTGCCTCATGCATGCCCCCTACTGGGGATTGAGCAGCAACCTGGGCATGTGCCCTGAAGGGGAATCAAATTGTGACTTCCTGGTTCATAGGCAAAGCAGAGGGGCAGGCCCAACTTGGCTCCTTCTGCCTTCGTGAATTACTCAATTTACTAATCCTATATAATAATCCATATAATAAAGAGGTAATATGTAAATTGACCATCATGCCCTTGCACAAGATGGCCACCCCCATGTGGTCACAAGATGGCTGCCACAAGATGGTCATCAGGGGAGGGCAGTTGGGGGCAATCGAGCTGGCAGGGGAGCAGTTAGGCGTCGATCAGGATGGCAGGGGAGTGGTTAGGGGGTGATCAGGCTGGCAGGCAGAAGCAGTTAGGGGGCAATCAGGCAGGCAGGCAGGCAGGCAGATGAGCGGTTGAGAGCCAGTAGTCCTGGCTTGTGAGGGATGTCCAACTGCCGGTTTAGGCCCGATCCCTGTGGGCAGTCAGACATCCCCTGAAGGGTCCCAGATTGGAGAGGGTGCAGGCTGGGCTGAGGGACAGCCCCCCTCCCAATGCACGAATTTTGTGCACCGGGCCTTTGGTTTACAATAAAAAACAACTGTCACAGGGATGGAAATATCATGATTTTAAGGGTCCATTTAGGTGCAGATAATTTCTGAATGTATAGATTCACTCTGGTATTTTCCCATGAGCCCCACCCAACTGCCTAATTGATATTTCTGCTTATGTCTCTAGTGAGCATCTCAAACCTGATATGCCCATCAACAAGCTCTTAATCTCCCCTCCCCATGCCTCCCCCCCTCCCCCAGTCTTCCCAATTTCAGTAAAAGTTACCACTCTTTGCATGATTCCCACTGCACCCCCCGCCCCTCCCCATGTACATGTATATGTCTATTAACAAGTTCTGGGTATCCATCTCCAAAACGTGCCCTGAAGCCATTCCTTCTCCCCAGCACTACTGCTGCTGCCCCTGCCTTCTCTTCTGAGAAACCCCCCTTCCCCCCAGAAAGGTCACTGCTGCTTGGGCTTCTTCTGGAGCCCCTCTGCTACCCTGCAGTTCATTCTCCACACAGTAGCCAACGGATCTATTAAAGATGTAAATCAGGTCATGTTAGGCCCTTGCTTCCTATTAGCTTACAATAAAACAAAAATCTCATTCTGTGGCTCTGCCTCTGCCAGCTTCTCTAGCCATGTTTCCTGTTACTTTCCCATTATTCATAAAGCTCCAGGCATATTGGAAATTCCAAAGAAATGTTAGGCTTCTTCTTGCCTCATAGCTTTTCCTGTTCCCTCTGCCAAGACACTCTCTTCCTCTGTCCTTGCCTGGCAGATTCTGGATCCTCATTAAACAGTCAGCCAGAGGTGCAGACAAGTTCTAACATGTAGAGACACAAGCCTTGGAGAAGTTTAGGAGGAAGGTGGGGCCTTTGCTGTGTTTGGTGAAGAGCAAGAACAAAAAAAACCTACCTCTACCTAATTTGTCTACATTCCTCACATGCCCTTTCACATTGCTTGCTCTAAATCATTATAGTCTTCTCTACCATTGTGTTGATGTATAACGTAAAAAAAATTACTTGAAAAATGCTGTTAAAAAACCCCAAAGTTCAACTGAGTAAATTTAAAGATCTATTTGCCTTTATTCAATAATTCATGAATCAAGCAGCATCCCATCTAGCAGAAAAACGGAAGGCTTTTATATGCAGAAAGGGAGGAGGGACAGGGAAAGAGTGGCTTGTTTCAGGCAAGGGCATCTCATTTTAGGGGGTAAAAAGGGTCTAACCAAGTGGATTACCTCACTAGTGCTGATCAGGAAATTCCAGACTGACTGACTAAGATTACATTCCTGAGAAGCTACAACTGCAGTTAGGTTAGGTCTCAGTTTGGTGACATGGGACTTAGCACAAATGACTCCATTTGGGCCAGTTGTATCTTTTTTATTGAACAATGCTTTTGGAAAATGCTTAGAGTAGAGTCAGCCTCTGGTTTTATATTAAACTAGAGGTCCGGTGCACAAAAATTTGTGCACTCAGCGGGGGTGTCCCCCAGCCCGGCCTGTGCCCTCTCGCAGTCTGGGACCCCTCGGGGGATGTCCACCTGCTGGCTTAGGCCCACTCCCCAGGGGGATTGGGCCTAAGCTGGCAGTCAGACATCCCTCTGGAAGCCCGGGAGCCCTTAGGGGATGTCCACTTGCCAGCGGGGAGCAGGCCTAAGCTGAAGTCGGACATCCTTAGCACTGCTGATGAGACGGGAGAGGCTCCTGCCACCACCGCTGTACTGGCAGCCGTCAGCCTGGCTTGTGGCTGAGCAGAGCTCCCCCTCTGGGAGCACACTGACCACCAGGGGGCAGCTACTGCATTGAGCGTCTGGCCCCTGGTGGTCAGTGTCTGTCATAGTGACCAGTCATTCGCAGTCGTTCAGCTGTCAGGGTCAATTTGCATATTATCATTTTATTATATAGGATAGAGGCCTTGTGCATGGGTGGGGATCAGCTGGTTTGCCCTGAAGGGTGTCCTGGATCAGGGTGGGGGTCCCACTGGGGTGCCTGGCCAGCTTGGGTATGGGGCTGAGGGCTGTTTTCAGACTGGCCACACCCCCTCCAGGATGGGGGTCCCCACTGGGGTGCCTGGCCAGCCTGGGTGAGGGGCTGATGGCTGTTTTCAGGCTGGCCACACCCCC